GGTGTCTTGGTTGTCGATTGACTATCAGGTATCACAGTGTTTGTGCTGAAGTGTCCCTTAACAATACCCCCAAAGCACAGGAGTAGTGATGCTGGCAGAGTGTCATAATTGTTCTATTTATTATTATTGTTAATCTCTTACTATACCTAATTAGAAATTAAACATTATCATTGGTATGTATAGGAAAAAAACATAGCGTATATAGGGTTCAGTACTGTCTGTGGTTTCAGACATCCACTGGGGGTCTTGGAACGTATCACCCACGGGCAAGGGGAGACTCTACAGTCTGTAGCTGAGGAGATTTCAAAGCAAAGCATTGAAGGAGTGGCTTGACTCCTCCTGGCTGCTTACAGTAAAATGGAAAGGGAGAGAGATGAATCGAAGCAGGAATTGTTAAGCAAAAATGAACCAGAACTTGAAGGTGTGGCAAATTCTCAGCCTATCCATACTGCAAAGAATGAGGACGCTTGCTCTGAAGAGAGCACTAAGGATGTGGCTGAACAACCATGTGATACGGAGATCGTGGGTGCAACTCGAGGACTCAATCAGCCAGATGGGCAGAATCCAGGAATAGAGGTGGGATTATTCCAGGGAAGACACTGCCAGTTTGAACTAGGAGGGATAGAGAAGTCAGGCTGGAATGTTCAAGGCAGGGTGACTCTTGGACTTCTTGGATTCTGCAGGACGGAACCATAGAGCTAGTCAGCTGTCAGTGTGTGCTACTCTTCAAGAAAGGGAAGAATGACTTGGAAGGTGATTAAGAGGCCATCAGAGCTGCCACTGCCCCCACGGGCCCAGGAACCAAGGCTCTTTCCTCTTCTGTTTCAGAGGGGAGGGGCTGTGTCTCTGGTTTCAGCCAGAATGACCCCACCCCGCGCCCCCGGGGATGGGCCCCGTCTGAAGAGAGCTGTGTGGACAGGGACGCCCCAAGGAGCCATGGGGGTGGCGCTGCCACCTCGGCGGGCCTCTAGGTCAGAGTGTCAACCAAAGGGGCTTATCTGTGAGCCTTCGGATCTAACGGAATTTGCCTTCTAAGCTTTATGCTTTCTTGAGACTCCTTTCTTCCTTCCAGCACCTCCCTTTGGAACGAGAATGTCTACCCTATGCCTGTCCCTCCCCTGTATTTGGGAAGCACATAACTTGTCTGGTTTCGCGGGTTCACAGATGGAGAGAAATCTTGCGTTAGGATGAATCACACCTTGAGTCTCACTCATCACCTGATTTAGATGATATCGAGATGAGACTCTAGACTCTAGAGTTGATGCTGGGACGAGCGAAAAGACTTTGGGGACTATTAGGGTAGAATGAACATATCGTATGTGGGAAGGACATACATTTTCGGAGGAGGCCAGGGGTAGAATACTATAAACTGAATTTTGTCCCTCCAAAATTCATAGGTTGAAACTCTAACTCTCAATGTGACTCTATTTGGAGATAACGCCATTAGTATGTGATTCAGGTTAAACAAAGTCGTACGGGTGGAGCTCTAACATGATAAGACTGTGGACTTCCCCTTATCCCCCTCCCATGTGAAGACACACCAAAAAGGCCACCCGCAAGCCAGGAAGAGAGCACTCACCAGGCACTGCACTGGCTGGCACCATGATCTTGGATGTCTCAGCTTCCAGAACTTTGAGAGATGAATTCCTGTTGCTTAAGCCATCCCATATGCGGTATTCTGTTATGGCATCCTGAGCCAAGACAGGGAGGGTGGTGGTGTGTCTGACGACAGCATTCCCCTGAGACCTATCTCGTTCCAGACATTCCCCGAATGTTCCTGGAACCATTCCAGAGTGGGCAGTGCCGTCTTGGCATCCAAAGTATCAGAGGGTGTTATCCCAACCCAATCCCCCCAAACTGGGAATATTTCACTCGGTGCCATCCTGGAGCGCTGGTTAACAAAAATCCCATACGTTCAACTCTTTTTCATCTGTTTTATTAGCATCAATATATACAAAGTGGAAAATGACTTAATTTCATGATTCTAGCTTAGAAAGTTTGTTTTGCTTTTTATTCTGTTTGGCGATAAAATGAAAATGAAAATTTCCCAGGAGACAAGCCTACCTTTTGAGAGTTCTGAACAACTCAATAATACCAGACCTCAAAGTGACCCACCTAGTGCCTAGTCAAGGACATAGGAAGGTCATGCCCTTTGGACTTACCCCAAGGAAAGGGCAGTGTTGTCTGAGGCTCATGCCTCAGCCTAAACCTACCCACTTAGTTGCCAAATCGCTTCCTCTTGTACAGCCATGCTGATCGTGTAGCCACTTTGCTTCTTTCTGTGCTGTTTGGGGGTTTTCAAAGCCATCAACCTGAGGTTCTGTAGGCTCTCCAAGGAGCTAGCATCAGAAGGTCGGCGTTAAAGCACGTCTATGACACCAAGTAAGGATGGTCATCAAGTAGTGATCGGAATACTTATGTTAGCTAAATAATTCTACCAAAAAAAAAAGGCTAAAAGCTGAGCTCCAAGCCGAAGAGCGTTCAGTTTGTGCATTTTTAAAGCACAGGGTGAAGGCCGACAGAGGCAGCTTCTGTGAATTAGCATGTAACACACGCCATCGCATGCACTCTCCGAAGCTCGCGATCGCTGTAAACGTATTTCCCACTGTTTTAAAAACAAAGAGTGGCTTGTGGGAAGGCTCAGTTCATTCTCGAGTTTCTCAAGAGTGTATCCTGTTCAAAAATATTTAATCCCAATGGGTTTTAATAGTGATCTTTATATAAAAACAGACATATATGAACTGCAATGAGATGCCTTGCACGTTTTTGGCACTATTATTATTTTTTTTACTTTTACATATTACAAATACACATTCAGATATTTTAAAAAGAAAAATAGACATCAACCTGTCTTTTCAATCACACTGTATGCCATTGAACTCACATGATCCATCTCTAGGCTAAAACAAACTTTTAAAACATGGTTACAGGTGCTGTACTACCAAGACGGAACTAAGACATTGGTCTCCTTAAAAAAAAAAACAACCAAAAAACCCCAACACCTTTTCTATCTCTCCAATAGCCAATAAGACTACCTGGGCCATGGCCCCACCAGTTTTAGGGAGCAGGTTTAGAATAAAGGTTTATGTTCTGTCAATCTTTAGAAAAGGCAAATGTTTAGTTTTTACACAGCCATAATATGTTCTAAAATCAAATATCATTAATAGAGTTCTTCATTCCAGATGACCCAGGGTTAGGGTTAAAATAAGCATCAGATAGAAATGAAAGCAAAGATTGGATTCTCACTTTTTTAAAAAAAGATTACATTATTTGTCTTGTTGTCTTTCTCCAAATATGACGTTGTTCACTAATGGCCTGGAACGCTTCTTCTCTGGTTTTTGCATTAAATGGGGCTGGGCTTTGGGTCCCGGAAACAGCCGATACCTATTTCTTGCCATGCACCACAAATGCATGCCTTCAGAAGTGTAAACGCACAGTTCTTTTCTGGCAGAAGGAAAATATTCCAGCCGCAGAACCCCAAGATCGAGGTCCGAGCTCCTGCTGGGAAGGAGGATGTGTGTGCATAAAACCAACGTCCCCATCTTGCTCGAGATGTTTCCAAAGCAACTACCAAAATGTGGACTCCCAGCCATTCTCCCCATGGCATGGCGGTTTTCTTATTTGAAAACCAGCAGATCTAAAACAATTCTAGAAAGCACGGGAGGGCACCAAAGAGGGCTCCAACAGCCGCCGAGCCTGTTTGCCTGTCTAAGCCATCGGCCATCGCCACCTTGCCACCAGTCCCAGAGAGGCGAATCTGCCTCACACACGCTATTCCTTCCATACACCCTCACCCTCCTCCTTTTCTTCATACCTGTATTTAGAAAAGAGTTTCCCAAAGAGTCACACACTCACTAGTCCCCGTGGGCTGGGGCAAAGGGACCCTGATACAATCTAAGGATGCACATGTGATTAGATGTGGTGTTGTGAATTCCTTTCTGGCTGAAATTCTTCCTTCTGTCCTTATTGGTGTTCAGGTCAGATGATGCGAATTCCATTGGATACTTTGCTTTGATTTTTCTTTTTTTAATTTCAATTTTTTTAATTTTTTGTAGAGACGGGATTGTGTGTGTGTGTGGGGGGTCTCATTATGTTGCCCAGGCTGGTCTTGAACTCCTGGCCTCAAGCCATCCTCCCACCTCGGCCTCTCAAAGTGCTGGAATTACAGGCGTGAGCCATCAGACCCGGCCTCGCTGTGATTTTTAAATCCCGTCCCCATTCTCTGCCTCTCCACGGTCACCATTCATGCCAATATCCAACATCCAGGCCGACCTTTGAAGAATAGAAAAGAAGTTTCGTCTCATAGGAATTTTCCCCCCGAATGACTTGATTGCGAGTATATTCTGAAGGTGACACCTTTCAGAGAGAGAGAGCGTTTGAGTCGCCTCCGTTTTGAGAGCTAAGACATTTCAGAACCCCAGGAGAAAAACAGAGCTCACACCTGGATTCCGGAACATGGCACCTCCTCCCTCCCTTATAACTATATGAGTGAGGCTGTCTGTGCCTCCCAAGCCTGTAGATTTATTATCACATCTTGACGGTGGCCGGCTGAACAAGATGATGGATTCCGACACTCGTAACATAAATTACTTCCTTTTTCATCCTGACGGAGCGTCAAAGAAAAGAACATTTTATTAGTTCGGTTCCCTCACCTGACATTCTCCCCCCCACTCAATTCTTCATTGCAACTCTCGCATCTCTCATTCTCTCTGAAAATTTTCCTTTTTGTCATTTATCGCCTTTTTAGAAAAAAAAGAGTTTTTTTTTTTTTTTTTAAATTTTGTCAACGTCCTGTGAGGCCCTGGTGGTAAAGCACAATGTTTATGCGACACCTCTGCAGCCTTTAGGACCACGAGAGGCAGGGGATGGGACAAGACCTTTTAGAAGCCGGCAAAACTGGAAGGGAGGGCACGGAATTTGTTTTGGAGCTGACCTTCAAAAATGGGTTTCCGTACCCAGGCTGAATTCCGACCCACGCTAAGCCAATAATAAATAATAATCTTTCCAGCCTAATCTGGGGGCTTAGCTTTGTACTGAAAACGCCACGGGCACGGATTCCCGAAGACGCATGCAGGTGGATGAGCCTTAGCGTGGCGTTCCCGGCGGGAGACACTCGATCTGCGGTTCGTTTCTGCGGCTGCCATTTGCCGTGTTGAAGTCTTCCACCTGCCCTCAGGACTGAGGCTGTAACGTGAATTTGGCTACGGCCGCGATACATCCAAACCACACCTGTTTCACTTTTTTAAATATAATAAATACAGTGAAGAAAAACAGTAAATCTTCAAGAAAGAGTCTAAAGGAAAGACAGTTGACACTCTGGGGTTTCCATCAAATGCCACGTGGTCTCTGGATGAATGTCTCGAGGAGGTTGTAGTTGCGTTCCTGTCCGTAAGTTCCCTTCTAAAGCGTAGCTCTCTTTAGATGGAGACCTCGTACTCCCTGGTTTCCTGCAAGAGAGAGGAGCACAGATTTGTTAGATCTCGTGTAGTAGAGCGATATGCTGATGGTTCCAGTTCTTCACGCCCTCCTGTGTGCATGACCTCGGCCGTGACTTCGTGGTGCTCTTCCACCTGACCCCGCCTGGCTTTTGCCAGTGGTTTATAGGAAGATGGCACACAACCGGTGCTTGTTCTTGTGTCCTGCCCCTCTGCCAGCACCATGAGCAGACACATCCTGCTGGCCTTTAGACCTTGCGGTGAGATGAAGGACAAACAGAGAACAGGGCTGAGTCACCCAGCCACCACCCAGCCAATGCCAGGACTACCACCCAGCTGAGACTAGCTTCAGACATTGCCCCACAGCTGATGAGCGAATTAATGCTCATTGTTTTAAGCCACTGAGTTTTGGGATTGTTTTTTACTTAATATTATTATAGCTCTAGGTCACTGATATACCCTACTAAGTATTAATAATGTCTAGTCTCTAAAAAACGCCCCTTTTCATCAGCCTGACCTTTTTTCAAGATTTGTAAGCAAGCTACGTAGAATGCAAAATAACACCTGCCCTCGCTCACCAGTGCCATCTACAAGGACGGCAACATGTGGGTAGCTACAAGTTTGCTTTCTCCAATATTTATGGAGCATGCATAATGTGTTCCAGGCCTCAGGGACAAAGGACAGAGAGATATAAGAAGCTGTAGGCTCACCCATGGAAGTGGTCACTGTCACAGGCTTTAATAGAGGTCTCCAGTTCTGGCTGAGCCAATGCAGATATGCAATCCCACCTATGCTCCACGGCAGATGGGAATGTGGTGGGAAGGCTCTGAGGTGGTCCCCATGGACCACCCTAACGGGGCTCACATCCTTGTGTGGTCCCCTCCACTTTAGGGTGGGTGGGACCTGTGACTGGATTCTAACCAATAGAATACAAAGGTGCTAGGATGTCACTTCCGTGTTTATGTGACCCAGGATTGTGACTTTGTCTTGCAAGGAGTCTCTCTCTCTCTCTTTGAAGACACAAGCTGCGATGCTGAGAGCTGCTCTATAGAGAGGCCCACGTGGAAATACCTCCAGATGACAGCCTGCTAGAAACTGAGGCCTCATTCCAGCAACCTGCAAAGAACTCAATGCCGCCAACAACTGTGTGAACCCGGGGATGGACCCTTCCCTGGTCGAGCCTCAGATGAGACTGCAGCCCCAGCCGACGCCTTGTTTGGAGCCTGTGAGCCCTGAAGCAGAGGACCGAGCTAAGCGGTGCCTGGATTCCTGACCTATAGAAACCACGAGATGATAAATATGTGTTGTTTTAGGTCCTCAAATTTGCAATACTATTGTTACACATCAATAGATAACTAACTCAGGAGATCAGAGCAGGTGGAGGTGAGGGGAAGCTAGCAGGGACAAGGAAGAAGCCAAGTTTATGTCCCCCAAACATTGGGAGATGATTGCACATCATTACACAGTGAATTTGAAGGGTTGTGGTTTCGCAAAGTCACGTCCAGCCATTTGGTTTCTCACATGTGCCTCTGGGCCTTTGCATGTGCTCTCCCTTCTGCCTGGCACCCTCTTCAGCCCACCTCCTACGTCTCAGCTTTACTATAGCTTCTCAAAGATGTCTTCCCCAACCCTCTCCAAGTGTCCCCCAACATACACCCTCATACCACCCTGTCCAGTTTTTTTTACAGTCCTTAAAAATCATGATTTATTATAACCAAGATATTCATGGGCATGTTTGATTATTTGAGGTTCAAAGGAGGCAGGATAGTACAATAATTTAGGGGATCAGGTTGGGTTGCATCCTGGCACCAGGCTGTGAATTCTGGCTGTGTGCAACCTTGGCCAAATCATTTTTTCCTCTCTCTGGGACTCAGTGTCCTCATTAACCAATCAGAGATAACTGTGGAACCTATTGCAAACAGCTGCAAGGATTTAAGGACATTATGCATCGAAAGTGCTCAGCACATGGTATATATTACTATTATTATTATTATTGATATCTTTCTCCTTTGCAAGACTGGAAGCTCATTGCTGGCAGGATCTGTGTCTCTTTGACTCATGACTGTGTCTCCAGTACCCAACGCAGGGCCTGCCGCTCGAATGCACAGGCATGTCGCACACTACCATGCGATAAGGATGGCAATGTGGCAGTGGGCTGTGCCGCGCCGGGAGGCACTGACCCCTCTTGGCCCTCTCTCGGCGGATGTTGGGTGCAGACCCTTCCTTCTGTGGGCGTTCTGCTGAGAGGGAAGAGCCTCATGGGCTTGTCATCAGCCTCCATCACTTGCAAAGACAGCTGGGTTCTCCCAGCAGTTATCCCCATAGGGGTCTCAGCGGGCTGGAGACAGGACCAGTGGCTATGCCTCTTGTGAGCAAGAGGAAAGGAAACCTCCCATTTCGTTGCCGGTGAATTCAGAGCAAAGAGGAAGGAACTCACCCCTGTCTCGTAGATGGGGTTGTCAAACTCGGTTTCGACAGTGATCTGGCTGTAGGGGTGAGAGTACATCAGGGGCAGGCGGAGGCTGGAGTAGTAGCGACATCTGGGGGAGAGACAGAGGGAGAGAGAAGTTACTTTCTGACAAATCACGACACTGAATGTGCAGAGTGGCGCCACTTCCCAGGCAGCGGCACCTCCGTGAGTGACAACGAGGAGGATGTGTGCCAACAGCCTCCTGCAGGCGAGACTCTTAGTGAGGTGAAAGCAGAAATCGTAATAGCTCTCAGCTCGTAACCCAGCCGGTGACAACTAAAGCCTTGGGACCTCTCCTTACTGGGGAGGGCGTGGAACTTAATTTGTTTTCACCTGTAAGGTGATTGGAGTCCCTCTTTAATGCAAAGGGCAACAACAACAATAATGAGCATTTATTGAACACCTTCTATATGCCATGTCGCCTTAGAGCAGCCTTCTGCAACCACCTATTTCAAGGTGATTTCTCCGTTACTCACTATACCCCATCTCTTTCCTCCACTGTGTTTACCTTAGTGTGTAATAATTTATTTCTGTACTTACTCTCCTCTCGCCCCACTAAGCTATGAGCTCCTCAGGGGCAGGAACAACTTATGTTAGGCACATGCCTACCTCAGGACCTTTGCACATGCTATTTCTCTTCCTGAAACATTCCTCTCCCACATATCTGCATGGGTGACTCATGATCCCTTTCAAGTCCTTGCTCAAATGTCATTTCCCAGTGGGGCCTCCTCTACTTACTGCATTTAAAATGCAGCCACCACTTCTATTCCTGAACCCTTTTCCCCTCCTTCCCAGCTTTCTCTTCCTTGCTGCATTTATAACCTTCTAATATACTATATGCTTTTCTTTATACTTTTCATATTGTCTGTCTTCCCCCATTAGAGTCTGAGCCCTGGGAGGGCAAAGATTTCCTTCTATTTTGTTCTCAAATGATGTTTTTAGAACCCAGAAAACCGCCTGGCACAGAGGAGATGCTCGATAATTGTGAATTCGGATGAATTAGTGACTATCCTAGCCATAGTTTCCTATCTTCCTTCTTTATCAAATGCAAGTTCTATGATCTTGAATACCTGGGGCAATGTCTGGTACACATTAGGTTGTCAATACGTATTTGTTGCATGAAAAAATGAGTGAGTGAGTGAATGAGTCAGTGTGCACGGTAACGTGTAACGTCTGAGTCCCCCTAAACCATAAGCTCTTTGAGTCTTATTTGCGGCCGTGTCCTCAGCCCTCCCACCACGGAGGCTTGGCAGGTGCCCAGTGCAAATATGTACCCCACCCCGTCGAGCCGAATCACACCATCTCTATGATCACACCAATGCCGCTATCCCCAAGCCACAGGTGGAGACCCTCAGTCTCAGGTGAGCTGCCCTGTCCCCCCGGGGTGCTGGTGGCTCCCTACCTTGTGATGTAAATGTAGGCTCCTCCCAGCAGCAAGGAGATGACGAGGACCGGGATGAAGATCGCCAGGGCCATGTTCCCTCCTTCCAGCGACGACTCGGCTGCCGCTTCTGCTACTGAACACAGGGGCCAGTGAGGTCCTCATTCTTCACACGCGTGACTCACACGGGGACCTGGCTCCCAGGTGAGCCCCCGCCTTGCCAGTTCTGCACCCACCCAAAGAACCGCCATCACAGAGCCTTAGATCTCAGAGAACCATCTCTAGAGGAGGGAAGAGTGCTGGTTCTTTGTGATGGAGCCCAGACTCATGCTTGAGTGGGACGGCCATGGGGACAGCTGAGAATGATACTGTTGGAACCCTGGTCATACCGTGCCCATTTTTGAGGGGCTACAGTTGAAATCTGGTTAAAATCCAATTCAAAGGAAGACTTGGAGAGAATCCCAAATGCACTAGCTGGGAAGGCAGACTTACTTGACCTTTCATGGAGTGGAGAGGAGAGGTAGGAAGGGTCTGGACCCGGGATTCAGGAGTGGTGGGCGGGGACAGGCTGCCCGTATGTCCAAGAGTCAGGTGGTGCTGGGAGTCCAGCCACCGGGTGTCCAAGCAGGGGTTCCCAAGCCTGGCTGCTCACCCGGGGCCGGGGAGCTCATCGCACCCAGACTGGTGGGCCCCTCCCAGAACTACTGAGTCAGACTCCCCAGGAGCCGCCTCTGAGGAGCCAGGACGGCAGCTGGGACAGCTGTCAATTCTGCACACCCCAATGACACCCAACGGTGAAGACCCAGTTTGGACTCTCAGAGGCCACCTGTGCACATCCTTGGGCTGCCCTCTCTTGGGCTCCCGCTACCTCCCGATGTTTGTGGCAATTGCAAGAACTACGACAGCTGTTGCAGGGGCTGGGGGCATTTTTCCCAGCACAGCTTGAAGGGAGAACCCCATATCTCTTCTGGAAACTTGGCCTCCAGGTTTCCTCTGCCATTCTCCATGGTCACATCTAATAGAGTTTAGCTGTACACCAATCTATAATCCATTAACTGCCACTTTACAGGGTCTGAAAAATCAATCCTAATGCCCACGATAAATGCCCGAGCACAAAACGTTACGATGGCGCTCATAATATCCGAGCAACCCCAGCCCTTTGAGACGTTCTCATGGTTCATTGGTTGGCAAAAGGCAGAGAAAGGGTGCTCTGAGCGGAGCGTCACACGAAATGCCCTCTATTTTCCAAGCGGAGTGACTAATCCGTGTTCCTCCCATCACTTGTATTAGAGCCCCGCTCTACCTGCTTGGATTAAAACATTGTTACCAGCAACAGCTGCTAATGAAATGTAATTCACATAGCCCCTGCTTCCAAGTGAACTCATTATTGTCAGAAAGCTAGAGATGGCTCCAGAAATAATCATCAAAGCTGCTTCATTGGTTGAAACGTTTAAAAAAAAAAATGAAATGATATATTACAGCATATATATTTTTTATGATATCTCAGCCCGGGTGAATGGTTTTATACCAAATTTAATAGAGGCGACACAGAAGAGAGAGCGTTCTGGGAATGAACTGCAGAATGAAAACAGAAACGAAAATAAAATCCTGGAGAGTTTTAAAGATCTGGTGCTCATCAATAAACCTCACTTGGGAATTCCTAATAAAAGGAGAAGAGAGGCAAAGAGGAGAGGGGAGAAGGGACTGGTAATCTTGGGGAAGAAAGAAGCCTCAGTGGAAAACGGACCATGGGACACTCCCAGGGAAAACTTGTCCCTCCAGAAACCAGGAGCATGCTCGCTGTGGGAGGCGAGATGTCTCTGATTCAGCATCACAAAATGTTTTACAATAGCGTTGCGTCTTTCTCGGTTTTTCTCTTTCCTACAGACTCTCAGCTTTCCCCACCTCGCTGTCATAGTCATGTACACAACTGGTGTCAAATCCCCTTCGGGTTATATTTAGGACCCTAACTTGCAAATTCCATTATTTTTTTCCCCTTACGATATCATTTCTTCTGTAATGATCTTTGACGGTGTCAAGGCGACATTCGTTATTTTATTATTTGGAAGCACCTGGATAAAGATATTCAAAGACCTGTCCTCGTGTTCTGCTATGAGACTGATTTATTGGATGTTCGTCATTCTGGAACTCACCTTCTAAAGCGTGTTCGAAACTGTCTTGATTAACTGAAAGAGAAATCGGGAAGCGCTGGTCAACGTAAGGTGAATTCGCTCTGTTTGCATGAAATGGGCTCCCCCCTCCCCAGTTTAGATGCAAAAGTCTGTGCCACACTTTGCTGAAGTTAATGCTGTGTGTTTGCTTATCTTGGGCTACTGCAGTCGGTGGAAATGCCGGGACATGTTCATTTCCTGAGTTCCCAAGGAAAGATGAGATAGGTAAGAAGTGAGCAAAAATAGTGATAGCAGATAGTTACTGAACACTCACCACGTGTCCAATATCGTGCCATGGGTTCCATATACATTCGCTCTTTAACCTTCACAACGATCTCATTAGGGCGATACTATTATCACCCCATTTTACAGATGAGCAAACAGAGGTTCAGAGAAGTGAAGCGACTTCTCTGACATCACACAGCTTCTAAGTGATGGAGGCAGGATTTAAATGGGGACTTTTCTCTCTTCTCTGCTCTGAACTATATGGTTAGGGTCTTTTCAAGTTGTCTTGCAGGACAAAGTCCTGATGAACCATGAGGCTCAAGACCTTTATTCAAAATTCACCCAGAGGTGAAATTATTTTCCTACTTCGAGGTATATATTTATATAAACCTTTCTAATCTCATTTTTATTCCATATTTATGTGACTAGGCTCCTTGTGTTGCATGCAAAACTGTGTTCATTCACTTATATTTTCTGTAAAACTTCTCTGGAGGTTCAAAGTGATGGGGGCTGGCAGCCCATGCATCAGTCATCACAGGGCTGAGCACAAAAACATACCCACAAGGACGAGCATTTCCTCCAGGAACCCCAAGACTTCCTAATTAGTGCCTGGTTGACGTTACTCTCTGATCTACGTCACCATTATGCAATGACAATAAAACCAATTGAAAAGCCGAGTGGCTACCTGAGTTCAGGCATCTCTGAGCTCTGGTATCAAGAAAACAAAAAGATTGAGGCAGATGCTGCCCGCCCAAGACACGAGCTGGACCACGGTTGAGGGTCTGGGAGCTCGTGAATGTGCACGGCATCTTAGGACTAGAAGGGGGCATTGAATCTTATGTCCCATGGGGCCCTGTGTCCACGGTCCCCCGGGGAGCATGTTAAAATGCAGACTCCTGAGCCCTTTCTGGGACCTGCCAGGGTGACATTCTTTGGGGTGGACTTCTACAAGTCTCACCAACTCCCCAATAAGGCAGCGGGTGGGCCCGCTGACTCTTCCTTGGAGACACTGATCCGGACTCTCCCAATTATTTCATACAAAGGGAAACCAAGGTCAGAGAGGGAGAGTGGCTCACCCAGGGTTGCACAGACGGTCCACTCCAGCACAGCCAGGCTGGAGTCCAGAGCCCCTGGGTCCTAGTCGGGTGGCCTCACATTGGCTGTGAACTGCTTCCCCAACTCCAGACCACAAAGTCATGGACCCCACCTTTTTTTCAGAAGAGGAAGCGACTTATCATGGCCTTACAGAGTCGCTGGTGGGAGAGGGGCATCCCAGGAGTGGAAACGGATATGGGAGAAAGGCGCAGGGGTCTCCCGACAGCCTCTCCTGGTGGGAATTCTGCCATAGTTGTGGAAGAAGGTGAGGGGCAGTGAGCTAACTCACCCGGTGGGGCTTCAAGGGATACTAGTAGATGGAAAACACAGGTTTCAGGAATAACCTGCAAAACTGAGCATTTTAAATCTCTTCCTGTTTTTTGGTCATTTGTGTATTTTCTGATGGTAGTTGCATTTTCCTATGAGATGGGCCACATTAGAAATAAATCGATAACATCCAGTGCTGGCGAGGATGTGGAGAAATGGTCATTATCACCGATCGCTGGGGGGGTGTGGATGACTCCAGTTCTGGGAAACACTGTGGCAACATCCACAACAGCCCGGCCTCCACAGATCCTTGCCACGCCATCAGTCCCACTTGGAGGAATCTGTTCTGCAGGATGAAAAGTGCCAGCATCCAGGGATTCATGGGCAAGGATGTTTTTAGCAAAACAAAACACAACAAACAAACAAAAAAACCCAGAAGGGAACCAGTAGCTCCATCAACGGAGGAAAGACTGATGTATTGAGAAACACGCATAGCGTGAAATGATGGGCAGCCGTCAAAAAAAAATAAGATGGAGCTACAGTTTTAAAAATATTTTTTAAATGTCTCTGCCAAGCAGAGAAAACGCAAAACACGGAATACAGTATGGCATCGATATGGCACGACCTTTTTTTTTGTAAAAGATAAACAACTCCTGCTCCTCTTTCCAAGTACGTCTATTTGTATAAATCCAGGGAAAGATGACACTGGAAACTCAGGTGATTATTGGCTTCCAGAGAGGCAGGGAAGGGGTGGAGGAAGGAAGGAAAAATTCTCGAATGCTTTTTTTTTGTAACTCTTGATGTTTTTCTACTTGTTCCATGAGATACTTTTGTAATTAATCCGGGAAGAATTTAAAAAATCAGTGGGCAGATAAAACATGTAGAGTCCAAAATGGCCCTTCTCATGGTATCCTTACTTAAGTTATTTTTAAAAAAACAGACCCTGTTCATTTTTCTTCCCCACAGGAAACTTACTGACAACATCAAATTAACTTCTATTAATGTCCATGTAACAGTTAGAGGGTTTCCAGGAACTCTTAGCTTCGGGAAAACTTCCCCATATTTTAACTCTACAAAGTAAGTTTCCTGTGCTACCAAAAATAGATTCAAATACAGGGCTGGACTTAATTAAATTATGGGAGAATAAAAGAAGGCATCTGTCTTAAATGTTAATGCATGCTTTCTTAATGTTCTCTGCTCTTCAAAAGGACCTCTTGTTCTCTTGTTAAGAACTGCTTTTTCAAGACCAGCCTGAGCAAGAGCGAGACACCGTCTATACTAAAAATAGAAAAATTAGCCGGGTGTGGTGGCGCATGCCTGTAGTCCCAGCTGCTTGGGAGGCTGAGGCAGGAGGATCGCTTGAGCCCAGGAGTTTGAGGTTGCTGTGAGCTGTGATGACACCACTGCACTCTAGCCTGGGCAACAGAGCAAGACTCTGTCTCAAAAACTAAATAAATAAAATAAATAAAAAAGACTGCTTGTACAAGTCATTGTCATTCATATGCTAAGCTCCTGCTTGACACCAGGTGAGATTAAATGGCATCCCTATGCCAGTGGGCTGATGACATGATACACCTGTGATGCCAGTTTGATTAGTCTCTGGGTCCTGTCTTAGACACAGCGAATCAGAATCTCTCTGGAAGGTGTCCAGAACTCTGTTTGGGTTTGCATCCTGTGTTTGGAAACCACCTAAATGGTTCTCAAATTCAAAGGGCATTTGAGCAACGACAGCTTGTTAGAATGCTTATTCCAGGGTCCACCGGCCAATGACTGATTTTGTAGAACACCCTGGGGCTATTCTGGGGCAGATTCAGGGATATGTTTCTAATGAACACCCTGGGTGCTTCTGATGCTGGGGTGACGGGCTGGTTGGGGGCTTGCTTCCCTAACAGCCCTGAAGCCCACCTGCAGGTAGCCCGCTGTAGAAGACGCAGGGGATGTAACAGTCAGGAGATGTGGGTTCAACTCCTAGCTTTGTCTCATACTAGCTGTGTGGCTTTGGGAAACTCACTTAACTTCTCAGAGCCTCTCCTGCCACATCTGTAAATAGGTAGATGGCTCGCCCACCTGTCCCAGGCTGTGGTCATGAGGCTTAAATGAGGTGATTCAGGGGAATCTTTTTTTTTTTTTTGTATAGGTAAAATTCACAGAACATAAAATTAAGCATTTAAAAATGTTCCATTCAGCGGCATTGAGCACATACACAAAGTTAGGCAACCGTCACCTCTGTGTAGTTCCAAAACATGTTCATCACCCCAAAACAAACTCTGTGCTCATTAAGCAGCCTTGGGCAGGCACTAGTTTGCTTACTGTCTGTATGGATTTACCTATTCTGGATATTTCCTATACATGGATATGTGACCTTTTGTGTCCTGCTTTTTTCACTTAGCGTAACGTTTTAGAGGTTCATCTATGCTGTAGCACGTACCAGAACTTCATTTCTTTTTATGACTGCATGATATTCCATTGGATGACTATGCCACATTTTTGCTTACTCATTCAGTTGATGGACATTTAGAATGTTTCCATCTGTTGGCTGTTATGAATGATGCTGCTATAAACATTATTGTACAAGTGTTTGAGTATCTGTTTTCGTTTCTTTTGGACACATCCCCCTAGGAGTGGAAAAGCCAGTGAGAAAGTGTTTTTAAGCCTTAAAACTGGGGTTCATGAATAAGACATTTGGGGATCCACTGAAGTTACGGATTCCCACAAAGAAATGTGAAACTTCATGTTTCTGGCCCCCCTGGGAAGTGAATTCAGAGCTTTTTGCCTGTTTCTCAAAGGTGTATTCACACCACAGGAGGTTAAGCTCCACCGGCCTGAACCATCGAAGCTATTTAGGCTATTATTATTGATTGTACACTGCAAAGGCCCAGATACACCGATCCAAATTTCACTTGGGATGTCACAACTTAATTTTGTTGATTCTAAGACGCAATTTCCCCATTTTTCTACCAGCTCAGAGATGGGGGCGTGTCTTCAACCAATGGTGTGTTCTAATCGCTGCCACTAGGCGGCGCGCACGGGTCCCTGCGCGCGCAAACCTGGGCGTGCGAGCGCCTTGGAGGACGCTTTGCCGCAACAGGGGGGCGCTCCTAACGCACGGAACAGGTGGCCGTGGGAAGGGGTGCAGGAGGGGGAAATGTTTACGCCACGTTCTCTAAGCTGGAGTCAGAGCAGGCTGGCTCTCAGGGCCAGTACTCGGAGAGGCAAAACAGGCATCTAGGGCACAAAGGGTTAAGGAGGCGATTCTTTTATAAGGTGACCCTGCATCGCAGGACTCTGAGAGCCTCTTCACCGTTTTCACCTCGGACACCTGTCTTGCCTTCCCCCAGTCCCGGCCCTGCCTCTGCATAATTGCAAAGCCTTACCACCAAAGACTGCAGGTTTTGTTTTTTTTTTAATGGACTTTCCTAAGAAATTCT